CAGCCTGAAAGGGCTCTGCATGGCAGAAGCACGCAGGGATGACCTGTGGATGGGAAGTGTCCCCAGTCCCGTGAGCACAAGGACCACTGCCCAGGACACACTGGGAACTTAAGTGTGACAGCAAGAAGACAAAATGCCAGAGGCAAACGCAGAGACCTCGAAGATGTTCCTCAAGAGAAAGCGCACAGATGCCACAGATGTACTTCACAAAATGACTAACAACTTCAAATGCAAATTAAAACCACCGTGAGAAATCAAGATTTCACACCTGTCAGAATGGCTTTTGTCAAATGATGAAGGATAAATGTTAGTGAGGATGCAGAGAAAAGGAAACTGTTGTACTAGGAAAGTGGTAGAAATATATGGGGAATGTTTCAATTTAAAAAAAATGTATGACAGTGAAAGACACAGTACCAGGAATCCCCTCAAAGTGATCAAAGTGACCTTGGCTGCCTAGCGCCATCCAGAGAAAGGCAGCTCAGGGGACACTGCGTCCTCCTCCACCTTACTCACTAGAGCTGGTCCCGAGACTTCTGGTTGTTCCTGAGTGCATTCAGGACATCAGGGCAGCCACAACAGTGCAACCAAAGCCCCTCAGGAAAGCACTTCCAGGACTGCGCAGAAGGTGGCCAGGACACGGGGAGTGTCTGCAGTGGGAGGCAGGCTGCAAGAGGATCTGTGGCCATGTGTCTTTCCTGTAGTGATTTTTAACATAAGCAGCTCCATGTTTTCTGATCACACCATGTGCACTGCTGGTGCAGCTGTAAATGAGTATAGCACTGTGGAAAGCCATGCGGAAATTCCTCAAACAACTAAACTAGAATCACTCCATCATCCAGCTGCCCTGCTTTCGGGGTTTTATTCAGCAATGGGACACCCGCCCCATGTCACTGCCTGACTCTCACAATAGCCACATCACAGCTGAGCGGGAAGCTGCGGTGGAGGAGCGGGTAAAGGAGTGCATGCACACCCACCGTAGAGCCCTCCTCAGCTCGGTGCCACAGAAAGCGAGGTCTGTGGCTCGACAGTGTGGTCAGACACCCAGGGGAGGAGCTGGGCAGGGACACAGTCAGAGGAGTCCGGTCCATGCATCATATGGCATGAGTGGACAGGGTCACTAACGCAGTACCAGGCAACTCACACCCACCCAGGGAGTATGCAGCCAGGGCCCTCCCCACAAGTGTTACGTGTCTGCGGAGATGCACAGGTTACCCAGCTTGACCAAATTACTACTTTCTCCTCTCCGTTCAATCTGTAGTACTGGGGACTGACCCAAGGCTCTGCACTGAGCCCCCTCCCCAGATCTTTTATATATTTTTTTCTTTCTGACAGGTTTTTGTTAAGTTGCTCAGCTGCCTGGGCTGGGCTCAAACTTGTGCTCCTCCTGCCTCAGCCTCACAGAGTGCTGGGATGACTGGCGTGTGCCCTGCACCTGGCTGAGTACTACACTTTATATTCCTAAGTCAGACCATTATGCATCTCATAAATGCATGATTACAAGCTGACACTGTAAAATTAAAATATGCAAATATGAAAAAGGCTGTTGCACTGTATATATTTTCAGACAAAAAAATAAAAAGACTGCTCTTCATTTTAGAATGGGGTGCATGGGATTTGACTGGGCCGTGCAGGCTGCTGGGCTCTTCAGTATAGTAGGTGGCTGCTGTTCCACAAATCTCCAGCACAAATCCCAGCTTATAAAAGTTACGCAGGTGGCCAGGGACTGTGAGAAGATGCTCCTTACGCTGTCACCAGGGAAACGTGCATTGGAACAGTGAGACCTGGCCACACACTTGGGGAAGATGGAACCTGCAGCGCTGGTATGTCCTGTGTGACACAGCAAGGTGGTGGCTGGCTTGGGACAGAGGCTGGCGGCTGGTGATGGCACCAATCACATAGCACACAGGACCAGTCAGCTTGTTTGCAGCATCCACCCGGCGGTGCTGAGCATCTGTGTGTGGAAAAGCCATACATGGCCGTGCACAACAGCTGCATTCGCACTGACCAACACCCAGATGTGACCGAGACACCCATGATGTCTGTGACGTCCAGTCTTCACAGACCAGCACCGTCTCACCCCAGCTGTGCTCAGGGACGGGCTCAGGCGGGGGCTTCTGATGGGGGGACCGCTATACCTTCCTCTCCATCTTCACACAAACTCAAAACTGCCTGCCCTGTCACAGTCAAATGTCCCAAAACACAGTTCTGAGGTCCCCGTCACTGTATCCACACTGGCAGCACCTGCCCTGGAAGCTGAGTCAAACTGAGCCCTCGGAGACTTTGATTTAAGAAGAGGCATTTGGTTCACATGCCATGGACAGAGAAAGGGAGCGACCCGCACTGCCAGGAGGCTCTTAAGATGACTCTTCGAGGAGGCCAGGAAAGCCACTGGCACAGTGCAGCATCAAATGCTTGTGGCCTCTGCACAGGTCAGCATGTGCTCTCTACAGTCACCAGAATGCGTTGCAGAGTGGAAAAGACACCTCATAGTAGGGGGTCAGTAAATATTTACCGCCCTGAATGGAACCAGACAGACAGATCAGTCCGCATCACCACAGTCATGCAATCAGTTTACACACTGGAGAATAGGTTACCCTCTGATTCCCTCCAAATAAACCTGCCAGGGCTGCTCGGAGTGCACAGAGTGGGGGATTATTCACCAGGGACCAGTGGACAGAAATGTCCCTCTCCACCAGGGCTTTATCGGCGTAAGCAGAAATAAGCAATGTGGAGAGAGGGGCACAATCCCTTTACTTTCTTCAAATGACTTTTTAGCCAGAGTTAAGAGTTCATTGCTTCTTCTAAAACTTAGTTACTAAGTCTAAAAAGCTGAAGGAGGCTTCAGTTTACTTTCAGCAGGATTAACAAACAACGGATCTTAGCTCAGTGATGTACTTAACGACGTTCATGATCCTTAGAAATATTTATTTTACCCATCAGCACATTCACCACAATACACAATCAAATATATCACTTAGAGGATAATGTATGTGTTTGTAAAAAATGCTTTTAAAAATCAGTTCCTTGCTGGGTGTAGTAGCTTGGGAGGCTGAGGCAGGAGGATCACTGCAAGTTCAAGACCAGCCTAGGCTACAAAGTGAGCTTAAGGCCAGCCTGAACTGCATAGAGAGACCCTGTCTCAAAAAGACCAAAAAAAAAAAAAAAATTCAGTTCCTTACTCAGGAACAAGTTCGTGTAATACATAACCTTCAGAAAAAAATTCCTTACATTCTCTCTAAGTTTTTCATCCATCAACTTGTTATATACAGTACATTAAAAGAACACAGAGATTGGGAAAAATACACATGTACATATCCTGTACAAATACTTCTAGGAACCAATAAATCAAGGCGTCCCTTAGTTATCTTTCTCTTGTTGCTGAGACAAAATACCCAATACCCAATGTTAAAGGTGGAAAGGTTTATTTAGCTCCCAGTTTGTGGAGGTTTCAATCTGTAATCTGCTGGCTCCAAGGCAGGGCAGTGTGACAGAGACAGTTCATGGTGGCGGAAAACAGCAAAGCAATGAGAGAGGAAGTGTGGGGGCTGCAACCACCTGCGGTGCCACAGGGGCAGAGCCCCCAAGACCTCTGGAGTGTACTACTTGCCACAGACTGCCTTGGATGCTGGATGGAACTCCAGGATTTAATGTTTGCCCTGCTGGATTTTGAACTTGCTTTGGTCCCATTCTTTTCTATCTCCCTGTTTGTAACTTTTAGAATGGAAGTATCTGTCCTGTACCATTCAGTGTTGGAAGTGTTTAACTTTTCATTTGCAGAGGGGCTTGCAGCCAAGAGTTTGCCTTAGATCTGGGAGGAGACTTGGGACTTGGACCTTTCAGCAATAGTAAAACTGGTAGGACTTTGACAACTCTTCTGGCCTGAAAGCGTCTTGAATAAATGGACGTGCCTGAGGCTTTGAGGGAACATCTATAGACAAGCAAGGTGTGAAATAAATAAAATTATGAATTCTCATTAGAGAAGTCAGGGTATTTCACATTTTTGCCTAAAGCATCACGACATTAAGATTTATATACAAGGTGACTGGTGAATATAGTCAATATCTAAATTTTAAAAAAAGCATTGCAGTAAGAGACACACTGCTGTTCATCCCCCTCAAAACTCTTTCCTCACTTGAATGCACTCATCCCATCATTCCTGCCACTTTCTGCAGCAGCTCTGGAGTGCTCTTTCCTGAGCGCACCTCCATGACAGGCTGTAGTTCCTGTCTTGCTGCCAAGCAGCCCCACACTTCTGGTGGTGCCTGCATGGCTGTCCCACCAATGTGGCTCAAGCTGGTGGGAATGTGTTAGAGGCTTACCGACTGCCCTTGTCTCTTTGGTCTCCAGGTCTGTCAGCCACAGGCAGCTGCATGGAGGTCCTGAGCCAGGCCACCCTGGCCTGCGACTCTCATCTGTCCCCAGGGCTCCACCTGGATGACAGGGCGGCCTCAACCCTCAGGTCTCCCTGCCACCCTGGAGGTGGGGCACAGCCTTCCCTTTTTACACACTGACTTCCTACCAAAGCTAAGAGCCCACAGCGACAACCAGAGAAATCCCAGACCAAATGGGCTCTCCTGGTGCTAACCACCATGGTGAGATGATGAGTCTACTCACCTCTGATTGTCTATCTTAGATAGGGAATGGCTATGCTACACAGGCAGACCTTGAATTTGTGTGCGCCAGCAATCCCCATGCCTTAACCTACCAAGCTGCTGGGACCACAGGTGCACACCACCACCCAGCAGCTCTCTTTTTCATTTTAGTTTTGAGATGGTGTCTAGCTGTGTTACCTCAGCTAGTCTTGTGCTCTTGGGCTCAAGGGATCCTACTACATAAGCCTCCCAAAAAGCTCTGACCACCAGCCCATGCTCCTGCACCCACCTTTGCTGTTTTAAGTCACTTACTCACGGAAACACATGCAGCACATACAGGACAAGGAATGCGCCTGTGGGTCCAACTGTTTCTGAGACACAGGAAAGGAGAAAGAAGCAGTTCCTCACCTTGTGTAAATGCCATCCACAACGCCAATGGTCGCTTCCTCTGCAGGGACATAGGAGCCCACCTGGGCCATGAGGGTGATCAGGGCTACCTGCTTGATGTAGGAGCTCTTCCCACCCATGTTGGGGCCAGTGATGATCATGACTCTCTCCGAGTCCTCCTGGAAGTGAAAAACAAGGTCACACACGACATCCAGAGAGCTGATGAACCTCAGTGTCGCAGCAGTGCCTGACTGACAGCACTGAGGTTCCGGAGCACCCAGGCTAGGGGCAGGTGGGAAGGGGGGAAGGGGCACCCCAGACCGGGGAGAGGATAGGATAGGGTACTTGGGGAGCACCTGAGGCCAGGGGTGGTCAGGAAGGGGGCACTCAGGGCCAGGGAGGACGGGAAAGGGGTCTGAGCACCAGAAGTGGGTTCCATGAGGCTTAGGTACAAGCCTGATGGTAGATGTAATGACAATGACAGGACCACACACAAGATGATCGGTGGACACCAGGAAGGCAGCCTCCTCATGGCTCTGTGAGCCACTGCTGTTCCCACCAGGCAGCACGCCAGTGACCACGGCTTTCCACGGGCCCCACTGCCCCTTCCTGCTACTGCAGGGGAGCCTGGCACAAGCCAACCCCTGATGATACCCACACAGTGCCATGTGGTGAGTTTGCTCCTGCAGGAGAACCGCGCACCCTACCTGGCCCATACTGCCACAGAGCAGATGCCTGTGGACACAGCCCTGTGGGTGTCCGTGGAGCAGCCTGGGCCAGTAACCAAGTAGTTTTCCCACGAGCTGTCCTCAAACCTGCCCATACACCAGCCTCTGACTGCCTGGTTGAAACTTTATCGGTGCCACCTGTCTACCCATGACAACTAGCACCACACCCCTACCCACCCAGTTGGGTTAGAAGCCCCTGAAGTTTTTGGTGAGAAGTGGATGACACTAAACTGTAGACATTGGTTTGCCTGGCATGTAATGACCCATTAGCATTTTATCAGAGCATGTGAAAGAGGCAGAAGAGCTGTAACTCTCAGGATGCCTGGATTTTCAGGAACCTTCCTGTGTCCAAGATTACAGCAAGTGCCAAGAGCCCAAGGCCTGGACCGTGAGCCCTACTCTGGCAATGCCAGCCTGGGGAGCACCAGCGGTCACCCTCAAGATCACCATTCCCCCTAGATTTTAGCCAAAACGAACTTGACATTCTGCAATTATACAACCTGTCACAGAATCAGAAGACATTAAACATGTAGGAATAAATCTAACGATTGAGTACAATCCACACAGAGAAAAATCATAAAACACGGAAAAAAGGTGGCCAGGTGGGATGAGGGACTGCAGCCTGGTCAGGACACTGAGCTGGGCAGGGAAACAGCGTGTGGTCTGAGCGCAGCCTGGTTCCACAGCGCAGGTGACCCAGGCACTGGGCACGCGGCCCCTCACTCCTGAGGGAGGTACACCATGGTTCAGAGCAGGAAATCTGTGCCACAAACGGTAGATTACAGCTTTGAAGCACAGGAAACTGTAAGGCCACCAGAGAGGGGCATGCAACCCGGGCAGGCAACGCTGCACACACCTCGCAATCCGAGAGGAGCCTGGGACACAGGTGTGTGCATCGTACATTCCCCATATTCACAAACCAAAGAGCAGAACCGAAAAGAGCACTGAGAAGATGAGTTGGCGGGCAGCAGGCCCAGCCAAGGACAGTCACGGGACGCGTGAACCCCACAGACGCCACTGCGCACGCGCGGACCCCACAGCCAAAACACACCACTGCACATGCGCGGAGTGCAGGCGTAGTGAGGCTTTTTTTTTTTTCTAAGTAAAACTTGTCAATATTAGGCTTTGGCAAAAGTCAGAAAGGAAGTGTCAAGGAAATAAATTGTTTAGCATTTTACAAAATGTCATCTGCTAAAGCTGCAAACAGCTCCGAGGCAATAGTGTTGCTGCCATGCGCAAGCCAGAGTTCTCACAGGACATGCAAGGCTGGATGTGCAGCGGCCGGTCCCGCAGTCACCTTCACCACAGGCTCGCACTGGAAACCACTCAGGCGTTCACCAACAGCGGCATGGATCAACTGTGCCGCATTCACAGGAGGATTCTACCAACAAAAGAAACTACAAGCAAAAATGTGGGTAGAACTGGTAACTATACTGGATGGAAGAAGCTAGCCACAAGGAGTGTATGTTGTGTGTTTCTGCTTATCTAAAACTCAAAAGCAGACAAAACTACGGTAAAAGATGAAATAACATGTTCTGCTACTGTGTTGTCCTTTCTGCCCGGATGTTGGACAATAACTGCTTTAGGGAAATCACTGAGCTACACACTTTTATCTATGCCTGTTTCTTCACACAGACTTCAACAGAAGTGTTATGGTTGATACACTGTGTCAACTTGAGAAGTTTAGAAATTTAAGACACTCAGCAGGGAGCCAGAGTCCCTACCTTGAGGGCAGAGGTGGTATGAGTGCTACACCCACCTTGGGGGCCAGGAGGTGGCCTGTGTACAATATAAGGGGGGAGAAGAGGCTTATTACACCAACACACACACACACACACACACACACACACGCTCTGCCTGCTTTTGCTGGATGCTACTTTGAAGTGCTGCCCCCGTGCAATGCCACCCTGCCTTGGAGCCAGCTGATTTGATTATGGACTGAAACCTCCACAAACTGTGAGCTAAACCTTTCCTTCCTTTATTTTGGGGTGTCAGGTATTTTGTCCCACAATGAGAGAAAAGTAACCAAGATAAGAGGTTATTTTAAAAAATAAAGGATTAAGAAAAAAAGCAAATGAACACATCCTCACAAATTAACAAGCAGACAACTTCAGAACCTACCTTTACTATTTGATCCAGCAAAAGCATAAGAAAAGAGGCCATGCAATCTGGAGGAAGCTCAGCTAAGAGGGAGACTTCACTGTGAAACTGCAGTAAATCAAAGTGTGGTGTAGTCTCAGAGAAATGTAAACAGAGCAGCTCGGGAAGCCCAGAAGAAAGTCGATACAAACCTTGCCTTGTCACAGGGAGGTTCACTTGCTGGCTGAAGGAGACACTGTGTGCAACAGGGCAAAGGCAGGAACGTGGGGGATCCCACGAAAAGAGACAGGGCCTGATCTCCTGCAGGACCCCTCAACCAAACTGAGTGGGTGAGAGAGCTAAATGAGAAGAGTAAAGCTCAAACCGGAAAACAACATAAGGCCATCACTTTAGATAAATAATACTTCATCAATTAAAACAGAGAAACAAAGCAATTCTGTTCCCAGGTTTTTGTGAGGCATGGAAAAGATTTTCCACTGCAGCACTTTTCCCTGGAAACAACTCCAGTGTTCCCCACAGCAGGGCAGGGCCGAGATGACAGTTCCACCGGGAATCGCATGTGACAGACAAACAAGAAGCACAAAAATATAAATTGGAAGGAAAAGACCTGCTGGAAACCACTACAGACAAAGCAAAAAAATGTATAACACAGTAGCATCTACACTATAGTAAGCAACTCCAACATACTAATAGCACAAAACAACAGAAAAATGGGCAAAGGATGGGAAGAGGGTACTTTAAAGAAACAATCCCAAAGGCCAGAAAGCCTGTCACTAATCCAGGCAAGGGAATGGAACCTAGGCCCCATCAGAGGATACTGCAGCTCCTCCTGGCAATCAGTCCCCTGGGAGAGCACCAGGAAAGAGCAGAAGCATTCCTCAGAGACTCCACAAGCCCAAACTGCCTGTGCACTACCCTCAGGGCCACCCAACCATGCAGGTAGAAGGGGTGGTGGCCCAGGTGCAGAAGACAGCATGAGGTCCATCCCTGGGGGCCACAGGGACAGAATGGTGACCAGCCAGGCTGGGAAAGCCAAGACCACACACCAGGAACACGGAGGCTAACCTGTGGCAATGGGACAGGGTGCTCAAGACAGAGACGGTGGAAAGAATTAGGATGCCCTGCCACCACGGGGCAAACACGCTCTGCAGTAATTAAAATCAGTCCATCAACTCTGCAAGCTGGAAGGCTGATCCTGCAGTAGGGTAGGATGGAGGGTCCCATGGAGGGTCCTGGGCCGGGGCAGCAGAGGGTGGAGGCCGGGAAGGCTCCTGTGTAGCACTTGGGTGGGCCAGAGGGAAAGGCTGTGGCAGTCTGCACACACGAGTGCCGCTCACTGTTTGGGGAGACGGATCCTGTGCCAGGACTTGGCACCCTGGGACGCAGGCATGGCGGGGGATCACAGGGAACCCAGAGGCACCCACAGGTTTTATACTTTCAATTACCAATTAAAATGGATTAAATTAAAAACAAAGAACAACAAAATATGAGCAGGGAGATGCCCTGAAAGGATAATTTAAGAGTCAGCATTTCACATTCATCAGATAACCACGAGGTTGAAAAGGCTGTCTACACTGCGTGCCGGCCAACACACTGAGAGCAGCAGGCAAACTCCTTGTGAAGGCAAGGGCTGTGCTCTGTTCCTCTGCCTGGCAGTGCCTTTCTTAAGCACCCACCCTACAGAGATATAAAAGTGCTCAAAAGGATATTTGGAGCCAGGCGTGGTGGACACTTGGGAGGCTGAGGCAGGAGAACTGCCACAAGTTTGAGGCCAGCCTGGACTACACAGCAAGACCTGGTCTCAGTTAAAAAAAAAAAAAAAAAAAAAAAAAAGACATTTAGACACCATTCTGTAGTGCATCTTATACTTGTAACAGACAAAACCCAAAAATGATCTAACTGCCTATTAAGAAAATAGCTCTACATGTATAATTATTGAGATAATTATTCATTATGCAGAATATATGGGATAGTGTTAGCACAGCATTTGTATACATTATTACATTATATATATTGCAAATAAAGCAAGTGCCTATTGCTAGTAAGATACACAGGGGACAAGAAGAAACGCCGCACAGGGATGATAAGCAGCACACAGGCAGCGTCTTCAGGGGCAGCTGGGCAGGAGGAGGGGCAGTGAGCTGTCCAGCAGCCGAGCTATACTGTGTCCCCACCTGCACAGCCTGTGCTGAGGCTGCCAAGTGTCCATCTCTGACACCGGCCAGGTGAGCCTTGGGTCGCTGTTACACATTGTCTGTGTCTCCTCATTTGTTTGAAATTAATTAAAAAACAAACAAACATGCTGCAAGTATTTATTTATAGATCTTTACCATGAACAATCAAATGATTCT